AAGTACTAATGAATTGTGCTCAACAGTAAGATATTTCCAGTCATTAGGATTTTTTTTTTGCAATGGGGAATATATGGTTCATCTGGGACTTCTTAGCTCACAATTCAGTAATGAAATGAGTAAATTTCAAAAAGTGGGCCCTCCCTGGTGGCACAGTGGGTTAAAGCACTGCACTAAGAAGCTTAAGCCACTTCCTCATGAGTTCGATCCCCACGTGCCCTGGAGGAGATCCACATGGCATATCAGACCTCTTCTGACCCGCCCACTGCTCCCCTTAGCAGTGCACTTCATCAGTCTGCCTGTTTTGCTCCCGGCTCTGTCCCTGGTGAATCCTCTCACCCTCCGCATCTCTGGCCTATACCCCAGTTCTGTATGAATAAATAAATAAATCTTTTAAAAAAAATTTCAAAAAGTAATGAGTCATATTACTGTGCATTTTGTCATTCTGACTAAGATTCACATGAAATAAAAATATTTTAGAAAGGGAACCTACGCCTTGGATGCAATCTAAAAATAACAGTTTCTTACAAGTGATTATGATTACAATGTAACTGTTAAATGAAAATTGCTTAATTTTCATTTTGATTAACGAGTATTTTTAAGTTCCCAATATTTTGCATTTAAAAAAATTTTACAGATGACTTTCTTTTTAACCCACATCTCACTATCATTAAATACTTTCTATCAGACAAGTCTAGAAAGTGCTGGATAGTCTATTGCAACTGGGGTGTTATATTGCAGTATTCTTTCAAATTGTTTTATATAATAAAGATCAGATTAGATTGTAAAATTTAGCAATATATTGCCCTTCACTGCTTGTGAATTTTCTCCTTTAAAGAAATGTAAAATTTGTTTTTTTTTTTTTGGAAGAAAAACAATGGAAAGATCAGTGCTCCTACTGTTAAAAATATACAGAATGATAACCAATGGCATGGCTCCATTTAAGTATTTTTCTTAATATTCTGAAAACAATTCATTTTAATATTTTTTTGTACATTGAAGAAATGAACATAATATGTAAACTATGAAAGAAGAAATGACAGTCATCCATGATTCTACATACCAAAGTTAACTATCAGTATACTTAGTTCCAACCTTTGGAACTATTTGTAAATACTATTTGTAAATACTGGAACTATTTGTAAATACTGCTTTTTGCATGTCAATATTATTATGTGCATAAGCACTATTATATGAATAGCTCAAAATACACATTGAGTTGTATTATAGATGTAGTTATGCTCATATATGTAATAAAAGAAAACTTAAAAGCAGAACATTTGAGCAACGTATCCAGATTCAAAAAGGCATTGAGTAGAGAATGTGGACTTACAACCCAGATGTTTTGCTCATATTATATTCTTAGTTACTCTAAATACATAAATTATAATGTATGTGAACACATAAATACATCTTTATGTTTCAGGTGTGTGATTTTCCAAACCTCTTCTCCATCATAACTTAAATCTTTTTATTCATTTCAATATTAAAAATACACCTTTTCCAACTTCTAAATATATTTACTAGTCTAAAATTTCCACTTTATTATTGTATACATTTGGACTTCAGATATCTTCATTGCATTTGAGAATTTTTTTGATAGTTGTGGTTTTAGTTCTTTCATTCTATTGTTCTATATTTGATGGGTTTTCATCACTAATATTACAAAAATATATATATTACCAATAAATACAGGAGCTTTTCAGATATTTTCTCCTGTTTCTTGTAGCATTTGTTTCTTTGGATAATTTATTACTTTAAAGTACTCAATCTTTAAGTATTTTCATCAGTGCTACTTTTCAATTCCTTCTAGAAAGGTAGATTATTAGAGATTGACAGTCTCTCTGAAAAAATGTTACAGACTTACTGAAAAGAGAATCATGATTCTTGAATTTTCTATGTTTATGTGGTCACTTTAGGTGGTCATTACCTTATTGGGGGGGTTAAAGAGCTATGTTTGGAGGGGACATGGTTAGAAAACTATAATAGCAACAGACACTGTCCCTTTTTACTCTCACGATTTTCTCATTAATCATTCTATCATCAGCAAAACACTCACCCTTATTAATCAGTAGTAAAAAAGTTTCCAATGTACTGTGCAGAAATGTATACATGGACTGTACACTTGGGTAGGCATGGAACTTATGGGGTTCTGGTGCAGTGTGAAACTCTCAGGGCTGTGCAATGCCTCTGAACACCTCCTAGTCCTCCCAATCTCACCTTCTTGCATTAAATCTCTGTCCTTTAAACTAAGAAATGTCAGAATAGTTCACTAAGTTCTTGCCCACTTACTTTCCAAATGGGCTTTTCTTTTGACTGTGTACTATTCATTTATTGAGTAAGTAGATTTTGAGTGCCTGTTTCTGGTCAGCCTCAACTCTCAAATTTCTCTTTCCTTTGAATCAGAGTAGTACAAATTCCTTAGACTTTTGTCTTGTTACCAGCATATATCCACATTCCCTACTACATTTACAACTATTAATGTTTCACTGGGAATTTTATTTTTTCACTGAGAATTTTAAATGGTTGGGGAATGAAATAAATAAATGTTATACCCATCTTGATGAGAAGGTAGCTATAATGAAGCTCAGGGATATCGATTGAATCCTCTGTACAAATATTAGGTGATATGCACAAACAGAAAGTGAGAATTGAGCCTTGGGAAAAGAGGTATTTACATTTTCTCCAAGAAGCCTTTCCAGTGTCATTATCTGTTAAATTCCCATGGCCTTTCTTAACTATCTTCATAATTACAGTTGATATGTGTGGTGTGGGGTTGGGGGAACCACAAAATTAGGTCATAATCTCTTTGAGAATTGGGACTGGGTCATTGAAAAATGTTCCATAGTTTCAAACAGAAGAGTAGTTATTAACATTTATTAGCTATCCATCATTTCTTGTGGTTACTTTGAATTGATCAATCAGTGGAGCATAAAAGTGGTGCTCACTGAGAAAGGATCCCCATGCTCCAGGCCAGAATGTAGACGAGACAGACATGGTCAGCTGTTTCCCAATTAGCAAGTTATAGAGGGTTCTTGGTGAACATACCCAATGCCGAATGTTACTCTCTATCTATACAAAGTGAATTTTTTAATTGTATTGAAATTACAATGAAATATTAATCAGAATGCCAAATGTTACTCTCTATCTATACAAACTGAATTTTTTAATTATATTGAAATTATAATGAAATATTAGACAATATTCACAAATAGAAAGTGAAAATCGGGCCTTGGCGGCAAGATGTATTATGTCATTCCATCATCTCCCTCATCTTATTACATGTCTCTCACACAATCTGATCCGAATACATAGAAAATCTTGCCTATTTTCCTAAGTATACTAAGAGCTGATATGGAAAGTTTCTATTGTTTGACTAGAAAGATGTTCTAGGATCTATAGAACTCTTTAACTATTTTACTTCTCTAATTCTAGGCTCTTCTTTTATCTAATGTTTCTCGAAAAAAGTTTTCCACTGGAGAAATTATTAACTTGATGTCTGCAGATGCCCAGCAGCTCATGGACTTGACAGTGAACCTCAACCTTCTCTGGTCAGCCCCTTTCCAGATCCTGATGTCCATATTACTCCTGTGGCAAGAACTGGGTCTGGCAGTGTTAGCCGGGCTGGCAGTTCTTGTGCTGGTGATACCAGTCAATGCTTTAGTTGCAACTAGAGTAAAAAAACTAAAGGTAAGGAAGTGATTGCCTCATGTTACAAGTGAAAGAGATGCTGAGTTTTCTGGCTTGAATTGACAAGAACCATCTAATTGTCTATCTATGGAAACTAGAGGTTATAAGTGTAAATGATAGAAATTTAGCTTTGATTTTTTAACAAGTACTGATTGGAATTGATCCTTTGTTGGGCACAGGAAATACAGCAGTAAAGACAACTGATGAGATTTAGTTCTTTTTGCATTAGTGGGGGAGACAGACATTGAACAAATAAGTAAGTAGATAAATAACAACGCTTGGTGTTGATTTGTGTCTGGAGGAAAATAATATGGTTACACTTACATGCCGAATATAGAGAAAGTAACCAGAGTTCAGGAAAAAGACAAAACTTGCAAGCTGTTCCCTCCTTGGAATTGCAGTGGGTTAGGATGCAGCACTGCAAGCTGGCCACAGCCATGTCAATGCGAGTTTGATCCCTGCCCAGGAGGTGATCCACATGGCGTGGCAGACATCTCCTGGCTCGCCCGCTGCTCCCCTCAGCAGTATATGGTGTTGATCTGCCTGTTCTGCTCCCCACTCTGTCTCTGGTGAATCCTCTAACTGCCCCATAACTCTGACTTGTTTCCTGTTCTGTATGAATAAATAAATAAATCTTTAAAAAAAAATGACCACAGGTCTGAGGCACATAGCAGGGGAAGAGTGGGAAAGGATCAAAACAGGGGAGGGAAAGGACAGCTAACTGTGGTGATGGGTCAGGGAAGCTATGGTGGGAGAGAACTACAGGGACTCCACATGTAGAAATCAAATACTATACAAAAATTAACAATGATAGAAGAAAATTAATTAAAAAGGATAATACCATTGCAAAGAATACAATTTCACATACAAAGTAAAGGAAAGACCCAAGGAAGGTTACGCTATGTTCACAGAATAAGGGAACCATCCCTGTTGATGTCTGAGAAGCAGCTCAAACAGGAAAGAGCAGACACACAGCCTGGAGACGAGTGGTTCGTGTGAAGCATGCACAGAAGCCAAATGGACTAAATTGAGCAGAGTCAGTGGCTGAATACATTTCAATATTCATTATTTGTATTCTTTCAATCAATATATTTTCCACATTTACCATGTGATAGCGGTTGTGTGTACCATGTTGCACTGTGGGAATGGAGAAACAGAGTATTTGGGGTAGTTTAAATGGTTTTTTGTTGTTTGTTTTAAGATTTATGCATGAAGAGGTGGGGTGTAGGCCAGAGGTGTGGGGGGTGAGAGGATTCACTAGAGACAGAGTGGGAAGTAGATCAGGTGAACTGTCTAACATATACTATAGAGGGGAGCAGTGGATAAGACAGGAGAAGTCTGCTGCGTCTGTGTGGGTTACTTCTCTGCTGGGGATTGAACTCCTGGTGCAATGGCTGGGGACAGCTTCATAGTGCTGAGACTTAACCCTTTGTTCCACTAGGGGTTTAAAGGTGTGGCCTGTGCATGAGGAGACCCCACTGTTATGGGAGAGACAAATGATTTCACATGTTAAAGCATCACACATGGAGATGTGCCAGTTATGACATCCATTATTTTAAATAGATCAAAAATTAGCAATATATGTGCTGCCATGAAAATGTGTCAATCACATGTGAGGAAATAAGAAATGAAAGGATATAAGAAATGAAGGTATACACGTATGTGTATGTCTTATATATGTTTTAAAATTTGTTAATATGAATAGGTCTGTATATATGGTAGAGATCAGTGAAAATATGTAGATAGATAGATGTATATTTTTTGTAGTATAGAAATAATCTAGACCTAAAACATCAGTCTTTTAAGAATAGTAGAATTAGATGGAGATAAGGGAGATTTTCTTTATTTTAATGAATTTGTGATAAGGCTTAAAATTTGTTTATGCTTTCAAATAATTATTAAAAGATGACTAGTGTTTAAAGATGAGAACTAGAAAACACCATATATTTATGAAATAATTATGAACTTCTAAACATA